TTTCACAATATACTAAGTTGGATTTGATAATTTTTATACCATTAGATTTATCTCAATGAGACGAATCAAATGATATAAAAATCATCAAATTCTGAGTATTTGTTTGCGAAATATCTTTAATCAAGTAAATAAAATCTTTTAAAATATTTGTTTGTTATTATTATAAAATTTGATTGGTTGATTATCACATGCACGATATAACCAATTATAATAGTTCATGTGATTAACAAATCTTATACTTTTATTGGACAGATTGACTCTGAGTCACCAATTTCAAATTCAGAAGGTTTGTACTACAAGGATTGTCCACCATGCTCTATTCTGACAACTATACTATGTTTAGCTCTAATAGCTACCCTATATCCAGTTTTAACAACTATGCTATGTCTAGCCCTAACTACCGTGCTATCTTCGGACTATCATACTGTCTTTGGTTCTGACTACTGTGCTATATTCAGTTCTAATTACTGTGCTACATCTAGTTCTAAATACTATGTTATGTTTGCTCTAACTACTATGCAATATTCATTCTGACTACTGTGTCTAGATACTGTGTTATGTCTGTTCTGACTTACATTTTCTAATTACCAATTACTGTGCTATGTTCTTTCTAATTACGTTTGTTATGCTAAAAAAAACAAAACAATAGTTATGCAGTTAATTATTATTATACTACTAATTCAGTAAAATGATAACAAAGAAAGTCGAAAGTATCAAAAAAGTAAAATACAACAAACGATAATGGAAAAAGTTGAAGATACAATACCTATGTTGATGCTTGCGACAATGCACACTGTAAAAAAAATAAATAATCAATATCTAATATCTATTGGTCGATCAGTAAGTAAATAATGATGTGGGTGATATCACCCTAGGTGAAAATTAGTTATAAATATAAAAAAGAAAATTATTAATGATATATTATATTTTATTGAAATATATTTAAAGTGCTGCTTTTTGATTTTGAAGTTTGATTCTACAAAATAAAAAACTATAAAGCTAATAAATATCTTCAAAAAACTAAAAATATCTTTCTTAAATAAAGTAATACTATTACAATAGCAACTAGTAAAAACCTTTGTAAATGTCTAAGTCAAGATTTTGAAATTTTGGAATCAGATATTGAAAGTAATCAAGTAACAGATTCAGAATCTGAAACTATCCAAAGTACAATTGATATTTCTACCACCCAGACTTCAACAAGCAAACCTATTGTTAAATCTAAAAGAAAAAGTTCTAGAAAATGAGGTTTAATTTGGGACTATTATGATAAGCATATTGATTCTATTACAAAAATTAAAACAGGTTTATACAAAGTTATTGTTCAAAAAGAAAATAGAGAAGTTAAATATAGAAAAGAAATAACTTATGATAATTCTACTAGTAATATGTAAACACATTTATTATTGATACATGGTATAATTTGGCTTTTTAAAGCTGCTAAACTTGTAATCTCTATGAAAGAAAAAACAAGTTAATCTACATTAGAATCAATGTTTCAAAATATATTCTATAATTCAAAAAAAAGAGAAAAAGACCAAGCTTTAGCTGAATTTATAATCTATAATTCTCAACCATTAGCTATTTTGTCTTCTTAAAAATTTATTGCTTTTTGCCAAGTATTAGATCTTTACTATCAAGTTCTAAATGATAAAGCATTAAAACATATGATTAATAAAGCTTATTTGTATAGTAAAAATTATTATATGAAAAACTTGAAAAAAAATGCAATCACCGTATCTTTAACATGTGATTTATGAACTGCAAGAAGTAGACAAGGTTACTTGGAAGTTACTTGTCACTGAATAGATGATAAAATAAAACTAAATGAAATAATACTGAAAAATCAGTATTGTGAATATCCATATACAGCTGAAAACATTAAAGAAGTATTGTGTTTAATAATTAATAAATGAAAATTAAATAACAAAGTACTAACTATTACAACTGATAATGCCAAATCTATGATTAAAGCAATTGGTTTAATGGTGAATAGAAATATTGTTCAAATTCTCTATACGGCTTATACTTTATAGTTGTGTATCAGAAAAAGACTAATACTAGCAGAAATATTAATCACTCATGCTAAAAGATTAATTTTATTTTTTTTCTACATCTAAACAAAATCAACGATTAAAAGAAGTTCAAAAAAATACTCTAAAAAGACAAGAAAAAGATTTTTTAAAAGATACTTATAGATATTTAAGAACAATTCAAGATGTTGAAACACATTGGAACTCTTCTTATTTAAGCTGGAAATGTCTATTAAAACTCAAAATCCTCAAACACAAAAAGATTCAAGACATTTTAATAAAATTATGTTAAGTGATGATGAATGGGCTGCTTTAGAAAAACTAGTTGAAGTTTTAAGTCTATTTGTAGCAGCTACTGATTTACTTAGTAGAAGTACTTATAGTACTATTGGATTCATGAATCCTATTATTGCTATTCTTAAAAAACAAACAAAAAATGCATAGTTAATAGAAATAAATACTGAAGAACTTGTAGATTTAACAACTAAAAATACTGCACTAGATGATGTTAAATTTATTGACAATTATAAAGAAGATGAAGATAAGAAACCTAAAAACAAAGAATTCTTATTAATACGCCTCAAGATTGTAATGATTTAGATCAAAAAGTTCAAGCAGTATTGTATAGTGCATTAGAAAAATATTGAGACATGCCAATAGATGATACAACACTATATGCAAGTTTATTAGATCTATAATGTAAAAAATTAAATTATATATCTCCAAATATTAGACAACAAGTTATTCAAAATTTTCAATAACTATATATATGATAAACAAAGAGATACTCAAAATGATTCAAAAACAGAAACAATACCTACTAGTATAAGTGATGATAATTTTCAAAACATGTTATTTAATATGATTTCATCTTGTGATTCAGAATCAGAAATTAATGAGTTCTTAGGTTACTAGCAGTTAAACAAACTTCATTCTAAGCAAGATTCATTGTTTTGGTAGACAAGCCAAAAAGAGTGATATAAAATACTATATAAATTTGCTCGCCAGTATTTTGCAATTCTAGCAACTTCTACACCAAGTAAGAGACTATTTTTAGCTACAGAAATAATTATGAGCTCATGATATACACTTCTCAGACCAAAGTTATTTGGATGGATGCTATTTTAAAACAAAATCAAGAATATTTGAAATTAATTTGGCCTGATAATGATTGATTTAATAAGTTTAAATATTTACTTTTGATGATTCAAATATCTTTTAGTTAGAAATATCTATTAATATTACTGTATTATTTTTTTTTTTCAGTGTTAAGGTAACCTCTATAGCTAGGGGCTTTTTATTAGATAATTAATAACGTTTACAATTATGATGAGAGTACAACTAGCCACACGTACAACTTTTGGTTGTCTATTTAAGTAGTTTGCCCGAGTTCTACACTAGCCACTATATCTGCAATCTAACTAAGAGATTATCTATTTAAGCTCTCTGGCTTTTACAAGTGAGAGTACGACTAGCCATACTT